TCTGAACATGAGGAAGAACTTCTTCCCTCTGAGGGTGACGGAGCCCTGGCCCAGGCTGCCCAGGGAGGCTGTGGAGTCTCCTTCTCTGGAGGATGCAAGACCCCGCCTGACCAAGTTCCTGTGCAGCCTGCTGTAGGTGACCCTGCTTCGGCAGGAGGGTTGGACTAGATGACCCACAGAGGTCCCTTCCAACCCCTACTATTCTGTGATTCTGTGATTCCTCTGCCGAGGGAGGAGTTCCAGGCGAGGCTCAGGAGGATTGCTGAGTCCCGCCGGGGTGCTCTGCGGGTGGCTGCAGATGGAGTATTTCATCTGGGAGCACCAGTCGCTGCTGATCCCGTCAGCGTTGACATAGGCACACTGTCCCTCACCCCGGACGTCGAACCTGCAGCGAAGGGCACAAGGAAAACCGAAAAGGAAGAGAAAAGGTGGGTGCCAGCCGCAGGTCGGCGGCTGAGCACCTCACAGGCCGGTCAGCAGCGCTGCAAGGAGCGGGGAACACCCTTCCCAGCAAACCACCCGCCCCAGGCAGCACCAAACCTGCCTCCCGCTCCACGAAGGGAGGGAATATTTTCAGTTGCTTCGTCCCAGGGATGCCCTCAACCCCCTGCCGGCATCGGCACCACGCAAATCCACGGAGCGTGGTCCGAGTGCTTTAGCTCAAGCAAGAAACGTGGTGTTTAATTGCTCCCACCTCATTAATTTTATATATATATATATGTGTGGGTGGGTGGGGGGTGTCTTCTGGCATTCAATCCCTGCCCCAACTCAGCCCAGGACACGGTTATGTTCTCCAGAAGACACCGGGACGTACAGGTTGTTGAAGAGAGACCCGTTGAACCATTTCCAAGGTCCGGAGCCTTCCCTTCGGAGACCGACCCAGTAGTGCAAGCGACTCCCGTAGCGCAAGAGGAAACGCTGCGGGGAGGGGAGGAAAGCAAGTGTCATAACTATCCTCACGACACACCCTCCGCGGGAATCCCAAATCTGCTTCCCAAAAGCCACCCACACACCGTTTCCTCGGGGATTGATCATTTACCAGCTCCTCCCGGGTGTCGACGGCGGCCAAATGGG